GCACCGACAATCCAGCGGTACGGACGAACCTGCGACTGACCGACATCGAGCTGAAGAACTTCTTCCGCGAATCGCGCTATTTCGATGCGACGCAAGGCAAGGTCCAGGGCAGGGTGGCGCTGGCCGGCAATGGGCGTTCGCTGGCGCAGGTGATGGGAACGGCCAACGGCCACATGTCGTTCGCCTTGGGCGGCGGCTCGGTCAGCAGCCTGATGGTAAGCCTGGCCGGGCTGCAGATATTCGATGCGCTGGTCATCTACGTGACCGGAGACAATCGCATCCCGATCAAGTGCGCCGTGGGCCGCCTCAATTTTCAGCAGGGAAACGTGACGTTCGACCGTACGATTCTCGACACGCAGAAATCCGTACTGCGCGTGAAGGGGCAGCTTTCGCTCAAGAGCCAGGCCGTCAGCGCGGAGGTCGATGCCGACCCCAAGAGCTTCGATCTGCTCGACCTCCACGGCGCCGTCATGATCGAGGGAAAGCTGCGCACGCCCCGGATTTCGCTGGGTCGCGTCGTCCCGATACCGACTCCGGTCTTCGGCAATGCCAAGGACGTGCCCTGCGCCAGCCTTTCGCAGGAGTTGCTTGCAGCCCAGTGATCAGGAGCGCGGGAGAGACGGTTGGGACAACTTGCTTTAGCGTAGGCGCCTCACAAAGGAGCCCCGCGTCAATGTCTGTTCCCCACGGCCCGCTGCAGGGCGTCAAGGTCGTCTCCTGTTCCACCGCGCAGGCGGGCACCGTTCCCTGGATGCTGATGGCCGATCTCGGCGCCGACGTGATCAAGATCGAATCGCCGCAGGGCGGCGACCCGTCGCGTCGCATGACCGTCCTGCCGGGCATGGGCAGCACTTTCTTCGAGGCGAACAATCGTGGCGTGAAGAGCGTGACGCTCAACCTCAAGAGTGAGGATGGGCGCGCGATCCTGCGCAAGCTGGTCGCCGAGGCCGATATCTTCGGCCAGAATTTTCGGCCAGGTGCGGCCGAGAAGAACGGCTTCGGCTGGGAGGATTTGCGCAAGGTCAATCCGAAGCTCGTCTATGTCTCGATCTCCGGCTACGGGCCCGACGGCCCGCATGCCCATCTGCCGGGAACCGATTCGATGGCGCAGGCGCTGGGCGGCATCGCCGAAGCCTATTCCACGGCCGGCCAGAAGATGAAGACCGGTGTCGTGTCGGTGGCCGACGAAACCTGTGCGATCCTCGCTTTCGGCGGCGCACTGGCGGCGCTGACTCATGCGCGCACGACGGGCGTGGGCCAGAAGATCGATCTCTCGCTGCTCGGCGGCCAGGTCCGCCTGATGGGCTGGACACTGCAGACCGCGATGTGGCGCAATCAGAATCCCGTCACCGGACAGGCGCGCGTCACCGGCACGCGCGAGCGGCCCGGCATCAGCGCGAGCTTCGACGATTGCGACGGCAAGCCGCTGGTCTTCCAGCTGACCGGTCCCGGACAACTGGAAGGATGCGATGACCGCGCTCGGGTTCTACGAGCGTCTCGAAAAGGCGGGTTTCGCCGATCTCGGGGTGATCATCGACGATGATGCCAGGCGCATCGAACTGCTCGCCACGCTCGACGGCCTGTTCGCCACCGGCACGCGCGACGACTGGGTTGCTCGGCTGCGCGGCGCCGACATCGTCTCGGCGCCGATCAACACGCTGCTCGAAGCGTCGAACGATCCCGACGTCGTGGCCAACGGCTATGTCACCGAGGTCGAATATCCCAGGCTGGGCAGGAAGCTGAAGGTGCACGGCACCCCGTGGAAATTCTCCGAGACGCCGGCCAGGCCCGGCATCGCGCCGGAGCTGGGCGAACACAACGACGCGGTATTGGGCGCGCTGGGTTATGGCGCAGCGGAGTTGGCCGACC